CAGCTCCTGCCCTCCTCAGGCAGCACTGGCTCCCCGGGTTCCTGTGCTTTCAGCCTCCCTGCAGGCCGGACCAGCTGCCTTGCTGCCTGTGCTGGGACGGCTGGCAGAAGCCGGGAGCCCCTGAGGGAGACGTGTGTTTGTGTCAGCAGTGGGACAGCCTGAAGTCCTAGTCATGGCTGTTTCCAGGGTGCTGTGGGCACAGACTGCGGGATTCGCTGCTCTATAATTAGGCTGTGTCTTCACTGCCAGGAATGGCTTTCAGTGTAAGATAAATAATACGTGTTTGCACTCCTGCTATGTACTTGCATGAATTTTTTTTAACCATGCTGTAGCCGTGTGTACTCCATAGCCAGCCAGGTTTGCCCTCCAGAACTAGGGAAGGGAGAACAGTAAGACGCTTTAGTGAAGAAGTGTGTGTTGTGAGATGAGGCAAGAGAGAGCCTGCGTGTCAACAGGCCGGACTCCCTCCTGGGATGCCTGAAGCCCTTCTCCCTCTGCGGAAACCTGTGGGGAAGGACAGGAATCCCGATGAAGCACTGGCTCAGGCAGATGTAGATAGTTGCAGACAGCATGCCTCTGGAGGCTCAAGAAGCATTGTAGAGAGTACTGTGAAGGTTGTGTGTTACCATGGATGGGATGGTTGTAGCAACGATCCACTGGCTGCGTTGGATGCTGTGATGCTGTGGTGTTTGTCCTCTCTCTGCATAAAGCATCTAGAGATCAAACGAACGCATCCAGGAGGTGCCTGGCCCAGCTCTGCACTGCGCAGTGCTGACACAGTAGGACTCCCAGCGATCTTGTCCTGTATCTGGCCATTTCTGTGGGCACAGCGATAGCGCAGCTGGAGGGTTCTCTGCAGCTCCACCTACTTGGCTTTAGGGGCTGGGATGGGGTCAGCAGTGGGGACACAGGTGAGGGTCATACCAAACAGGATGTAAAACCTTTTGCCATAAGATTGAGTGGCAGAGCAGAGCTAGTTGGGTGTAGGGCAGGGGTGACTTTGGCCGTCTGAGCAGGAGCCTGATGGTGGGGTAGAGCCCCTTGAGCAGCATGCAGCAGCAGCTTGGGGGTTCTGCTCTGCTCCTTGGTGCTCCTGTCAGTCCCTGAGGAGGGAGCCCTGGGCTTGGTGTGCATGGCGCTTTCTGCGCTCATAGGAGAGCATCTGACCGTCCTGTTTCTGGAGCCTGGCTGCATCTCCTCCCCTCCCCCTGCTGCAGTGTGGTTGGCTGCCAAGCGCCTGGTGCCTGCGCTTCTGCTAGAACCGGAGGGCAGCACAGCAGACGCAGTGGGAGCCGTGCATCGTCGCAGCCTGTGCTTCTCCACGGCGCTGGGGCCTCCGGGAGTGCTAACGCTGGACAAGCCGCTGCAGGCAGCCAGGTACCGCTCCTCTGCGGTGCGGGGTGGGGGAGGATTCCCATCTGGTGACTGAGATGGGCAGGGTGCCCAGCCGTTCTGTAACAAAGGACCGCTTTGAAGTGCGATTTCGGGCAGAGCTGATGAAAACTTTTCTCCTTGGGAAGCTTACAGTTAGCCAGGTGGGCACAGAATTTCTCTGTCGTGATACTGAGGAGGGATGAAGGGGATTCTCTGGCTTGCTTGTCCCAAGGATACGCAGCAGGCATGCCTCCTGCGCCAGACAAAGCCAGAGAAACGATGATGGAGGCAGCTCCTAGCATACAGCAATGGCTCTCAAACTTTCAGAGCCTTGTTTCCCCCCAAACTTTCCTCCCATTAATAAACTGCTTACTAAGCTGTTCCAAAGTGGAGGTACACCCTACCAAAGGTGGGGGATTGGGGGGGACAATTGCTAGTAAGCTTCTGGGAGGGAGAGGATGCGGCTGGGAGGAGGTGTCTGAAGAAGGGCTGGGGGATGGCGTTGCAGCAGAATGCGCTGGCCAGGCAGCCGGGAGAAATTTGCACAATGGTGGGAGGCAGCAGCACATTATCAGCAACCGCAGGCTTCCCTGTGTCTTGCATAGCTGGCACTCTCTTGTGGCTCCACGCTAGGGTCTCCTCTAGTGCCCTTGGTCTCCTGTCTCCCATGCCACTTGGAGACCTAGAAAGTACCCGCCCCTGCCTCTGCATGAGGGGAAGGAGTGTGGTGTTCAGCACACATTGGGTCAAAGATCTGGCCAGCTCAGACACAGGGTAAACAAACATGGCTGAGATTTGCTGTAATTGGCAGAAGGAGCAGGAAGCACATGTTCTCTCATCTGCTGTTTTGGAGGAATGTGCAGGTAGGAGCAAAAGCATTAACCCCAAATACCAAAATGGCTCTCAGGGCACAAAGGACACGTGGCAAGATTTTGAACTTGGCAGAGTTGCTGGATAAAGGCTTGATTTGCTAGGAAAGAGCCACATTAGAACTTCAGCTGGTCAAGGGAGCCAGAGGTAAAACAGATTCTTTGCTTATTATGCAGGTAGAGCTTTGTCTCTGTGAATTTGGCTGCCTTGTTGTGGTTTACAAGACCCGTTTGCTTCTGGAAATAATAGCTCAGTCTTGCACTCTGCAGTCAGTTGGTCTTTGCAGCTGCCCCAGGTACACCGTGGAGGGAGTGTGGGCACTCCAGAGCCCTTCAGGGTACCTTCAGGGTACACAGAGTGGCTCCAGGGCACTTGCTGGTCCCAGCTGCGTCCTGGCCATTTCCTGTACTCCTGAGGCACATCCAGTGCATAGCCCTCACATTAGACAGATGCCTGCAGAGGCACTGGCTCCTCGGAATTATTCTGCCTGCTTTAATACTACTTCATGCTGTCAGGGCAAGGTAATGGCTCTCACTCTGTCTTCTGTAGAGTGAGACTCCCAATGAGATTCTGAAGTTAGGAAGAGATGCTTGCCCTGGCTTCGTTCCAGCTGCTTAGCTCTTGTCTCCACTAGCCTGGAAACAGGTTTTAATGGTGTTCCACTGTAGTCCCAGGCACAGCAGATGTAGAATGGATTTGGTGAGCTGCTGCAGACATGAACAAGAGTTTAAAAACAAGTTCTTATCAGCTGATCTGGAGGTGCCAGCACAAGCTTGCTGGTGGGGGTGGTGAGGACTGCTGTTGTGGTTCCAATGGCCTGCTGAAAGGTGCATGTTTCCCTGGCCAGCTGGGGTTGCAGCATGAACTGCAATAAGGAACAAAACAGCTTTCTGCTAATGGCACATGTCAGTGCTGTTTTGTTGGTTTTTTTGTTGTTGTTGTTTGCCTGTTTTTTTAACCCTTGTTGCCTCCAATGTCTGTATTCTTTGATTGCTAATCAATGAAAGGAGTAAGACCTTTCTGGTCTTGAAAGGAATAAGTGATCAGATACAAAGCCAACCAGACTATCTCCTCTGTCTTCCTCAGAACACATATGCTTATTGGAATTGGATCATGCTTTGGTAACACAGGAGTTGCTCGCTCTGGTCAATCAGAACAAACCGTAGTAGCTTTTGACTTGCCATTTCCAGCTGTGGGCTGGAAAGTGGGAGGGGGATGGGAAGCTCCCAGGTCCTTTCTGTAGTGATGTGAACCTGAGTCACTGTGGCCAAGTCCCTGTAAAGCCAGCTTACCACTGCCTTGCTCTAGGTTTCAGGAAGATTACGCTACAGTGCGTTTTCTGTTAGAGATTGTAGGTGGTGGGGAGCTGAAGCTTCTGGGACAGAGAGGAGTGTTTATGGAAAGAGTATGAAGGGAGCCTCCTATCTCATTGCGGGAGACCCCTTCCGCTTGAGCTGCAAATCTAGTTCCTTAGTCCTATTTAAAAGTCCCCCGGGCTCTTGCAGCCTGCTGGTTAGCAGAGACTTTCCCAACACAGGCCTTCCGGTATCTAGAAAAACCTCTGGAGCTTCACACTCAGCTAGAGCTGGCATGTGTCAGCTGCTGCTGAAAGAAGCAATCCTGGCCTTGATCCCTATCCAGGGGATAGGGAGGGCTGGACTGTCTCCAACAGCATAGTCAACTTGTACTGAGTTACACATGACTCTAAAGCTTGGGGAAGCTGGTTGGGTGAAGCCTTTCTGGGCTTGGAGATTGGCTTTAAAACCATGCGAGGGGGTGCCTGGATGCTAAGGAGAGTCCTGTTTTTCGGGCATGGGAGAATGTGGTTGAGACAGCTCTCTGCCTCCACTCCCTGCTCTGCTGCTGGAGGTGGATTGCATTGCCTCTCTTGTCTGGGACAGAGGGACCCTGTCTCCATGGGACCCTGCTGAAAGGAGGCATGTACTGCATTCCCTTCCTCTGGGCCTAGGGTCAGTTTCTAGTGCTGTGGTGCTTGGCCCCTTTGTTCTGAGTGGTGTTCAGCAAAGGCAAATGTAATAAGGAGTTTATCTAAGGAATTCAGATGAGTATTCTTTTTTTTTTTTTTTCTTTTTTCTTCCCCCCCTTCCCACATGACGATGGTTAAGCCATGGGACCGGGGTCTGAAGAGCTTGTGGGATCTGCATTTTGGGAGATACTCAACCCTTGACTAGACACAGATACCTGATCAGATACCTGCTTTGAGTGAAGGGATGGACCAGAGACCTCTAAGAGACCTCTGGGCATCCCTTCCAATACAGCATATGGACTCTTTTATTAGGGAGGAAGTTGCAACACAACAGTCTTTCTATGGTACATGAAGTCATTTGTGTGTTGGTTCGACTCTCTAGACTGTCTGCAGTGCAAGAAAGGTCCAGGCTGGAGGCTGGGGTTGGGAAAGAACTTCAGGCAGAAGATGGGGCTCTAGGTGCCCCCTTTTTTGGCAGTAGTGTGGAGAAACTCATGAGCCAGAGACAAATGGTGGCAGAGGACCTCATGCACATCAGTTTGAGTGACATCTTTTGGCTTTGGGATTGCAGCTCAAAGATATGCTGGGTATGAACTCCCAGGGTGCTGACCCCTGACTAATCTCCTCTTTGTGTGTTCTTAGTGGCTCTAAGGGAGCATGAGGTGTACCAGGCATTTCTGGCAGTGCTAGCAGAGCACCATTCGTGAACCTCAGCAGGCATGTATCCCAGGATGGAGCCATATACTGCAATTATTCCACCAGTTCTTACTTTTAGGAGTCCAGCATTTGCCCTTTAATTTCTGGCTCTTGTTCATGTTGCGGTTTTTAACATTACCCTGAAGCTGACTGCACACCCATCTGTCCCTTCATTTGCAAAAGATCCTTCTCTTGCCTTTGTTTCTAAAGCCTTAACATGTGCGTGTGTAGCTGCTCTTAGCTCTGAAGTTCTTGGGCACCATACAGAGCTGATTATATTTCTTGTTTTACCCATATTGGAGCGGCTCTGGAAATGCTGACTGTTGGATGTGCAGCTCAGCAGCACCAGCTCGTCCCTTTTCTGTGTCTCTGTTGCAAGTGGCCTGGGGTAGTGACCCTGAGCACAGTGGCTCTTCTGGCAGTGGCGTGGCAGTGTGCAAGTTTCCTGGCAGTGTCAATATGTCCTGGCTGTGCAGTGGAAGCCTCAGAGGCTCTACGTAGCTGACTGCAGTCTTCTATAGTCTCTGTTTGCTTTCTGACGCTATGGTATCAAAATAAGGAGAAAACTTGTGCTCGTGATACAGCTTCTGTGATGGTTGCAACTTTGGCAATCTGTTTGCTTTTTACTGCTTTTATTTTATTTTTCAGCGTCCAAGGTATTAGGTCTAGATTTTGTTGCAGTATGCCTTAGGAGTGGAGACTCAGCTGTATGTTGGCGATCTCACTTCTAGCTTCGTTGGAGGTCAGCCAGTCTTTCCAGAGACCCTTTATTCTGTTGTGTAACAGTAATGAGCTGGCAGAGGTCCAAAGGGAAAAAAAAACCACCCTCCCTGCTTTTATCAAGTTGTTTTGCTTCCCAAATACATCACCTTGCTGTTTCTCCAGGTAGCAAAAGCATGTCTTACACCATGAGACTGGGATAATTATTGTGAAAAGACTTTAAGCCCTGTGTTTCCATTTCTAAATGCTACCATTGCTATCTATCTCCCGAATGTGGTCACTCATTCTTGCTATGGGTCAGACTTACTCTTTTCCACAGGAAGCTTTTTTCCAGAACCCAGCTGTTTTTCTGCAACTACCATATCCTTAGATCACCTTCTCCTACAGAAGAGTTTGCTGCTAAAAATCTGTGCCCACTTCTACACAGAAAGTGCTGGCAGACCATCTGCAGTTTGAAGGAAGTTGCAGTTATTGTCTTTACAGTATCTCTTGTGCAAGTTGTGATGGTACCCTGTGTCTCACATATACTTGGTCCAGGGACGTGTGAGGAGATAGTGAAATGAACTGAATTTATTAAGGCATGTGTAGACCTGAAGTCTCTGCCCTATTGTAGTTGACTCCTGATTTCCCTTATTTTTTTTGCTCTCTGTAGTCTTCTAGCATTGGGCATCATAATCTAAGCTTTAAGATTCACTTGGACCCATTTAGTCTGGCATCCTTGTTTCTGTTGTGGCAGCTGTTGTGGGTTTAAGATAGAAGCAGTGAAGCTTCCAGCTCTTTCCTCTTAAAGCTCTTGCTTGGGGGAGCAGTTTTCAGAGGCAGAAAAGTGGGCTGCTGAAATTGCTGATGCTCGGTGATTTCCCAGTTATGCACTTGAATACTGCAGGAAGTTTTCTGCCTGGCAGGATGTGCTAGCTGATGGATTCCCAGCTGATTGCCGCAACTGCCGCAAAGCTCAGTGCACACATGTTCCTTCCCTGTCTTCCTGCAGCACTCCTCCAAATGGGAGCAGGGGAAGGGAGATGAGATGGGTGTTGCTGGAAAGCCAGGCTATTTTAGCAGCTCACTATAAATAGGGAAGACATGCCAACTACAGCAGAAACGTGCTGGTGGAGACCTGGGCCATGACACCTGGAGAGCCATGAGGAATGCAGCGGGATAAACTAGGAGCTGCGCACTCCAGCATTCTTTCTTTCTATTCCAGTCTGAACCTCGCCCTGCCAAAGGCAAAGGATGGTGTCTCCCCTCCTTTCTGCAGGAACCTTCGAGTGTGTTTTCTGCCTGGATAAAGGACACTCAGTGCCCTTTACTGAATGTGTGGGAGTAGGAAGAGTGCTTATACAGCTGCCTGACCTTGGCGTCCGTTGCCATAGAGTGTGTTTCCTCTCTGGAGGGCTGGGCACTGAGTGTGGACCTGCCAGCACTGGGGAGAGCTAGGAATAAGGCTCTGCAGGGAAGAATTCTCACTTTGGAGAGATAAGAAGTCAGCTCGCACCAGTGTTTGTTGGTTTTCTTTGCTGTGCAAGAGGTAGCAGCATTTAAGTGACTTCTTTGCAGTCTTCTCTTTGTTTTCTTGTTGGTACTTGGAAGTGAACAGCCCCTGTGCTGTTCTCAGGTTTTGCACCCTGTGTCCAGCCTGGACAATCCCCTGTCCACCCTTGAACACTGGAAGCATGTTGGTACCTAGCAGAGCTGTGCTTCTAGGATTTCATCCTAGGGGAGAAAGACCAGGGTTGTGTAGAGGTGTTTGCACAGCCAGTGAGAGAAGAGGAGCCTGTATTGGTATGTCTTGAGGATCTGAGGATGTAGTTGCAGGGTAGGATGAGTCTGATGTGCTGTGGGTCAGGACGTTTTGATTATTTTCCCTTCTCAGTCTGAAATCTTTATAGTTCTGAAAAACAAGTTGATCGTGGGGACTGTGAAATGCCTAAAGCTTTTTCTGCTGGAAGGGCAGTAGAAAGACGGGATGTTGCTATAATAAAGGCACTGGTGGTTTAACACACAGCTCAGCGATTTCTCAGTTGAGGAGTAGTTCTGTGCACAGTGAAATTAATGAGGCTGATTTTTCTATGGATCCGGGTCTTATCTGACTCTGTTATCTAGCAGGGTGCAAGCTCTGGTGGCTTTTTGTCATTATTTGTAACATGTTCCTCTTCCCAATGCATTTATATTGTACTTTTTAAAGATGGCAGCAAGATCTCTGGACATAAGTAATGCTTCCATGAAAACTGTCAGCATTTCACAGCTGACCCAGTACACAGAGGGACAGATGAAGAGGCACTTGTGCTGCACAGCTGTGTGAGCCTTAGGGCAGAGCTCTAGTTGTGTTGTATGCTGGGTATGAGGCTGCTCCTGGGGATCTCCTTGTGTCCCAAGCATTGCCTATGCTCCAGAGGACTCCCACTTCCTGATTTCCCTGTTTTCTGAGTCTGGGGCTGAAACCAGTGACGGGGCCCTTTCACCCTTTAGCAGTTGTTACCTGGGCTTCTGTGGAAGCAGGTAAGTGCCTGCTGAGCCTTCCTAGGAGGCTGGCTGGACCCATTTCAGAGCAGGACAACAGTGCTTTGCCAGATGTGGCAGCGCTAGCCTCCTTTGGCCTGCCAGCCTCTTCCTCTGGAGCTGGGAATCGTTGCACATCTCTTCCTGAATTGTGCTCACCCGCAGAAGTCTGCCTTAGGCAGGGCTTCCCTTGCTGCTTTAGCACTCGACCACTCCACCACATGTGTTATAAAAGTGGGAAAAAGAATAACCAGGGGAATTATGGACCTGGCTTTGCTGCCAGTTCCTGGAGAATCAGTTTGGAACACAGGATATGAACGGCAGCCAACTCTCAATAGACGTATTCTTTTCTTTGAAACAGGAGTCTGTGCCCTCTATCTTGATCTCAGTAAGGTTTTTCATGCCATTCTTATCATATGGCCTTCTCCAAAGCAAACTGGGAAATGTCACAGTCCATTTGAGACTTTTCAGTGTAAAATGCACAAAGCACAGGTTAACTGCATGTGGAGCATGGCGGATACCCAAAAGTGAAGGATACAGTGAAGTATGGCTCAGGGTTGGTGCTGATGCTGGATCATGAAGTGAATGTGAAGTCAGCATTGTGAGTCTGGGGTAGGTGGGGGAGGACTCGGCTCTTGCTTAAAGGTATGAACAGGAACGCAGTCTTTAAGAGACATGAAGTGTTTCTGCCCTGCTGAGGTTCAGTAAGGTCTCTGCTGTGTGTCGAGAGTTTGCTGCCCTTCCTGAGGAATGGATGTGCGTCACTGGAACAGAAACCAAAGAGGAGCTGAGAGGAGAGCTCAGGCCTATAAAACAACTCAAGGAACTTCTGGAAGAGTGAGGCTAAAGAGGAGGAAATGGGTGGGTATAATAAGATGTGTGTACTTACAGCAATTGCCCCAGCACTGTTTGCCATCTTCACTTTCAGTGCTGCATTGAGAAAGAAACTGGACCCCCTATTGCTCAGGGCCCACTCCTGGGCAGGAGTAGTGGTAGCTGAGCTGTGGGATTGCCTGGAGCCCCCCTGGGCAGAGCACACAGCTGGCGAGGAGAGGAGCCCTGCCAAGAAGAAGAGCTCTGCTCTCTCTCTTCCTGTACCTGGGGCAGCATTTCTGCTCACTCAGTGAACCAGGCACAAGGCTGCTGCCAAACAAAGAGCTCAAACCATGCAGAGGTGGGTCCTGCAGGAGGACAAAGACAAATCTGCTAGCAGCTCTTCCCCCACCTCCTCCTGCATAGTGCCTGGGCAGTTAGCCCGCTTCCTGCCAGCAGGGCCCTGGATGCTCAGGTTGCAGTGCCTCCTGCCAGCTCTGGGCATCAAAGAGGTGCTGCTGGGCAGGTGCTGCCTTTGCAGGGCATTGCAGCTGGCTGCCTTCAGTCCTGCAGGAGGCTGGCCTTGGAGTGACCTATAGCGAGGTGGGTGGTGAGTCACTGAGTAATGTGAAGAGGCTGCTGGGGTGGCCCAGCTGTGGGGGGGAGACTGAGAGAGGGTTAGATGAGTGAGTCGTGGAGCAGCCAGGGTACTGTCAACCTGCTATAAGAGGTCTTGCCTGCTTCTTATGTCTCTCGCCCTTTGGCCTGCTGTTTTCCCTAGCTCCTGGATTTTCTATGCAGGGATCTTGCAGCCACGCTAACATTGTGGGTTGTAGTACTTGGTGTCCCTGTGCAAAGGCAGTAGCTTGGTACTCTCCTGTTGTATATCGGGGGGAACGGGACAGGGAAGGAGTACAGAGTTCTTATGCCATCCTTGAGGAGTCCTTGGGCTGGCAGCAGGGCAAATGAAGCTGGAAAACCTGTTAGTGTTTCAAGCTGACACCCACGCAAGGGTTACACTAGTGTAACTGTAGCAGTTGATGTACGTAAGCTTTCCCACACAGGCGTGATTCAGTTCATGCTGGTGGTGTTATGTCCCTTATGGCCACAATGGCCGTTCTGTGCCAGGGCTGGGATTGTCAGGGTGTACTCTTCTAGTCAGGGAATTTTTTGTTTGGCCCGGTATGGGCACTGATGCCTCCCTGTCTGAGATGCTCTTCCAGGAGATTTTCCTTTGAGGAAGCAGAAAGCTTTGAGCTGGCATCCCTCCACTTTCTATTCCCTTTCTTCTGCAGTGGGAAGATGTATTGATCTCCGGCAGCCTCCTTGCATTAGTGGTCTGTGGACAGGAGGTGTAGGCATTGCAACCCCAGCTGCCAACTACAAATTTCTGCTCTTAAATGGAAGCTAAATCAGCTTTCCTTGCTGCTGGGAGTGTGGGGGTGTAGGAGGTCAGCACTGATTTTAGCCTTTTTGTCTCCTGTCCATGTGTGCCACCTGCACTGGTTGCCAGCACTCCGTGCCACAGAAGCAGAGACACGTGCCCCGACCGCTGCCTACTGCCAAAGGGAGAGGGGAAGACAAAGGGGAAGGGCTTAGAGTGGGCACCCAGTTGAACACTGTCTCTGGCTGCTTGAAGGAGGCTGTGACACTTGTGTCTGGTTGTGGCTCTTTGAAACAGCACTGAGGCGCTCAGATTTTGTCTCTCTCTCTGTGTAGGGCTGCAGGAGCAGGACTATGTCCACCATGGTGTACCCAAGGGAGGAGAAACTGGACAAGCTAAGCCAAGAGGAAATCATTTCCAACACCAAGCTCGTGATGCAAGGGCTGGAGGCACTCAAGAATGAACACAACTCCATCCTGCACAGCTTGCTGGAGACCATCAAGTGCCTGAAGAAAGATGAAGAAGCCAATCTCGTGCATGAGAAATCCAACCTGCTCCGCAAGTCAGTGGAGATGATTGAACTGGGGCTCGGAGAAGCTCAGGTGAGAGTGGTGGGTGACCCCTAGGTATTACCCAGGACGGACAGGGGAAGGCGGGCTTGTGGCCATTTCCCATAAGCTGCAGGGGGAGCAAGGGGCTGAGTGTAGAAGGGCAGCGTGACCCTGAGCGTGGGCCCTAAGCATGCATGTGAGGGAGATACAAAATTGTGGTAGTTACTGACTGCGACTCTTGACAAGGTGATGATGGCATTGTCCAACCATCTGAATGCTGTGGAGTCAGAGAAGCAGAAGCTGCGTGCTCAGGTGCGGAGACTGTGCCAGGAGAACCAGTGGCTGCGCGATGAGCTTGCCAACACCCAGCAGAAGCTGCAGCGCAGTGAACAAACTGTGGCTCAGCTGGAGGAGGAGAAGAAACACCTTGAGTTCATGAACCAGCTGAAGAAGTATGATGAGGATGTCTCACCTTCGGTATGCCCTAATCCTGTCAAGCAGCCACCTTTGCAGGTGGGGGAGGTTGGACCAGCAGGATTGCCTAGGTGTGATAGCATGGCCCTGGATTTTGCCCCTTCCCAGCTACCGTGCACAGAAATGCCTGTAACTGAAGGGAGCCTGCACGCGGCAGTGTCTCTGGAGTAGCATGCCAGGATGTGCTGGGGAAATTTGGCTTTATTAATTTTGCTGTGTGTGGGGAAGATGGTGGCAGAGACAACAGGGGAAGTTGAGGGTGTTGGTGGGCTGCAGCAGGGAGGAGAGTTTGGCAGCTGACTCAGCCCAAGCTGCTGCTGTCTCCTCTGAGAACGAACAGTATTGTGATTCCCATCCTCTCAGGAGGAGAAGGAGGGCGACTCCGCCAAGGACTCTCTGGATGATCTGTTCCCGAATGAGGAGGAGGACCATGGTCCTGGATGTAAGTGTTTGCTCATGCGTGTTTGCTGGCTGTCTCTGTTCAAGCCTGCTGTGCCAACTGTGCCCCTGTTTATTCCTCTGTGCCTGCAGTGCCCCACCAGCACAGCAGTGCTGTGGCAGCTGCCCAGCAGGGAGGCTATGAGATTCCTGCACGCTTGCGCACCCTCCACAACCTTGTAATCCAGTACGCCTCACAGGGACGCTATGAGGTGGCTGTGCCACTCTGCAAGCAGGCACTGGAGGACCTGGAGAAGACATCAGGCCACGATCACCCTGATGTGGCCACCATGCTCAACATCCTGGCACTAGTGTACAGGTGAGCATGGTGCGGAGGGCAGGACTGGGCCAGGAGAGCTTTCTACCTTTCCCCTTTACCAGGACAGCACATTCTGGTGACAGTGAGCTCCCCCAGCTTCCAGTGGTTTGTCTTTCAAAAAAGTTTTGGCACAGATGAGGTATTTGGACTGCCAAACTCCCTGATATGACTAGGGACTGGCTAAGGTAGGGAGGAATGGAGAAATGAAAGGGCTCTGGGGGCTGGATCTGTGTGGAAGGAGGACTGTTGTTCACAGTTCTGCTTGCTATGGGCTGTGGTGTCCAAATCCCAAATAACTGGTTGGCTTTGCACTGCAGGGATCAGAATAAATACAAAGAGGCAGCACACCTCTTGAATGATGCTCTCTCCATCCGTGAGAAGACTCTGGGCAAAGACCACCCAGCGGTGAGTGTCTCCCTCCTCTTTCAGTCACTTCCCTTGACCTGTGAGTGCTGCTGGGGCTAGAACGGTGCCCTTATGGTGTGTCTGCAGCCGGACTACCAAGGACAGCAGTGTGCTCTGTGATGTGAGGGGTGCTGTTCACATGGTGTTGGACTCTGTTTCACTGCTTCAGTATTTCCTGCTGTCTTGTTCAGTATGGACTGTCAGGAGTTGGCTTCTCCTGGATCCTGCGATGTAGGCAGGGTAGCTTTCTGCCTCTGGACCTCTTTCTCTTCAGAAGCAGCTGGACTGCAGGCATGAAGGAAACGGGGCAGTCATTGTTACTGCTGCTTGCACCCCTTATTTGGTCCCACTGGATTCTGCTTTGTCTCATGGAGAAGCTTATGTCTCTGCAGGTGGCAGCAACTTTGAACAATCTGGCTGTTCTCTACGGCAAGAGAGGGAAGTACAAAGAAGCAGAGCCACTGTGTAAGCGAGCCCTGGAGATCCGTGAGAAGGTACTGGTCTCCCACGCTCTCTTTCCTTCCAGCTGTCCCTGAGAGTTTTCTCCCATTACCTCACTGCACCTGGGAGATCCAGGACATACCTCGTCTCTTCGGCTGCTGATTCTGCCACCACCTTTCCTATCTCTCCAGTGTTTGCAGCCTTAGAGAGGCTTTCCAGGAGGTGGAAGCTCGAATTTCTCCTCTTCACCTCCCTAGTCCTTGGCTTCTGTCTGACATAGGAATGTTCTGGAGGGACTACAGTGTCTGCTAACTCCAGGAGTCCACTGCAGTCTTTAAGTGTTGACTTCTTGTGGCTTCTCTTCTTTCGTTTACCTAGGTCCTAGGCAAAGACCATCCTGATGTCGCCAAGCAGCTGAACAATTTAGCCCTGCTGTGCCAGAACCAGGGCAAGTATGATGAGGTGGAGTACTATTACTGCCGGGCCCTGGAGATCTATGAGAGCTGCCTGGGTCCTGATGACCCCAATGTGGCCAAGACCAAGAACAACCTGGTGAGACCCTGGGGAGATGCCATGTGGGGGTGGGAAGTGGTGCCATGGGAAAGGTGAGCATTGCCTGGTGCTTGGAAGATGCAGAGAGATAGCTGCAAGAGTGGGGGCAGAGTTAATCTGTGTTGCCCAGTGGGGCTGGAGCTGTTTTCTTGGTTGCAGGCCTCCTGTTACCTGAAGCAAGGCAAATACAAAGATGCAGAGGTGCTGTATAAGGAGATCCTTACCCGTGCTCACGTGAAGGAGTTTGGCTCTGTGGATGGTTTGTACCTGTTGGGGCTGGGGAAGGGTGAGCAGTTTGGTCTCCTGGCTTTCAGCCTAGGCTTGGCTGGTCCTGGTATCCCCCTGGCAGAGGGATGGGATGCCTTGCAGGCCCCCTGCTTTGGGCAGCCCTTGAGACACTGCCATTCTAGTGTGTTATTCTGCTCTACCTCTTCTCTGAGAAGGGGTCTTGGAGAGCTCTGGCTGTCAGTCTTTATTGGGTTGGGAATAGTTGTGGCTAAAAGGGGGAATAGCAAGTGGCACAATCATTCCCAGGCAAAGGCTGAAGTTTCTCCTGTACACCTAGCACAGGTATTCCCCCATGGGAGGACTTGTTCCTTCCTTCCCCTGTCCTGCCCTTGGAATGTTGGTTGCCTTTCTTGGGGCTCTGGCCCAGTGACCCAGGGGGATCTGGAAGGCTTGTCATTTCCCTCTGGTGAGCTGCTGGCTCTGGGGACAGAGTGCTGGGCTGTGCAAGAGGCAGAGCCCCAGTGGAAGTGGCAGAGCAACAGAGTGAGGTGGTGAGCGGAGCTGTCTTGCATTCTTCTCCACACAGATGAACACAAGCCAATCTGGATGCACGCGGAGGAGAGAGAGGAGATGAGCAAGGTGAGTCTGAGCTGGTGGTGCTGGCTGTTGATAGCAGCAAGAGCCCTGGGAGGGGAAGGAGATCCAGGGGTTCTGATCCTGTCTTATCACAGCCAGACCCTTTTTCCTGCACTCTGAAGAGCTACCATGGCCACTGATGAAGGCCACGAGGGGTCTGGAGCATGGCTGCTCCTTGGGGCAGCACGGAGGGAAGGCCCATCAGAGAGCTTGATGCTTTTCCTGGGACAGGGCGTTGTTCAGCATCTCAGCCATGGCTGCATGCTCTCTCTTTTTGCTTTAGTGATCCCTCTAGGGCGTGCAGATGATGGAAGATGGCGGATGGCACAGGGTTGTGCTGCAGGGCCTTGGCACTCTGTTCCAAAGAGCTGCTAGTACCCAGAGCACAACCCGCTTCTGAAGCAGCCCTAAGGCTGCCTGGGGAAAAATGGAGGTCAAGAAGAAACTGCTGCCGTCACCTTGCTTAGGAAATGGAGCCGAGCCTCCTGAAAAAGATGTCTGCACAGGGTGGGCCCTAGCTGTTCTATGTCCTAGCTGGCCTCTGAAAGAGGATAGACATGGGTTGTGCTTGCCTTGGACTAGGCTGAGAGACAAAGAAGCTGTTGTTCCTGTTACCCTGCTCTGATAAATGCATCAGAGTCCTGTCTCTGCTTTTCCTAAGCCTAAGACCTCACCTGCTTTTTGGCAGGTGGGTGAAGCAGCAGAATGAAGGGCTCCGGTCTAGTCCTCTAGCTGCAGTGGGAGCAGACACTGTCTCTCTCTTTTTCCTTTGCCCTTGGAGCAGGCCCCATCCCTACATGGGCTCAGACAGCAGGCTGGCAGGCTTGGCATAGTGACTGGTCAGTCCCATCCTGCAAGTCCTAAGAGCAGGGCACTAGCAGCTGCCTTCCACCAGCATGCTGTGTCTTCCCACTGAACCGCCCTGTGCGGTCCCCAGTGCAGGGCAGTGCTCAGCTCTGCCTTGCACTGCTCTAGTTGCTGCCCTATGAAGGCTTCCTGCTGCAAAGAAATTACACTTTTTGCGGCACCATCCTATGCAGGAGAAATCAAAGCTGGAGTAGAGACCAGGCTCCCCTTGCCCTGTCTGGGATTGAGGCACTCCTGATGGTATCTTTGGAGAATTAAGAGGTCAAAAGTAGATAGTTGTAGTGTGGAGCTTTGCTCTAGATAATGCAAGCTTTACTCTAGATAGTGCAATCTTTGCTATGGGGCAAGAGAACAGGCTCAGGGACCTACCCTACAGTTGGAGTGAGATTTGTTTTACAGCTGGGGCAAGGGCTGAGCCTCTTTCCCTGCCCCTTGGGCTGCTGTCCCCAGGGCAGCTGTGCCTATGCTCCATGGCATGGTATGGTTGGCATGGCCTTCCTGGCCAGGTGACAGTAACCACAGACCTGCTTGTACTGCTGGCCCAGGGGCTGGGGCTGCTGCACTCTGCTTTGTGCTGTGTTTCCACATCTCCTATTAAAAAGCATCAAACCCCTCTTGCAGACCTTCAGTTCTTTTTTCCCTCACCCCTCTT